ATAATATTTTTTAAAAGTGATATTAATATTATTTTATACAATTCACATTTAAATGTTTTAACTAAAAAAATTTTAAACTATTTTTTTTATAAGAAATGCCAGCCGTTGGATTGCTATATCCAATGGCTGGACGCTTTTGTCTTTTGTCAGGCAGTGAAGATCCTTATCAAGTGGACAAAGAATTCAAAACACCAACCACCATTTTGACTAAATGAAGGGCCTAAGAAAATGATCTCAAGGAACATAAATAAAACCTCATTAAACTAGGATAGCCTAGTTCCAAAATGGAGAAAACTTAGGCCACAAGAATTCCCAAGAATTGAAGGTATAAACTTCCACCCCGTTGGAAACCAAGGCGATGGTGAGATAAGCCTAATTATGAATTTATGACTATTTTGAAAGTCAGTATTAGTGGAAGTCAAACTCAATATTTGGAAGGAAATTCCACCCACAAAAGTCACTTTCAAAAATTGAATATTAGGTTAGAAAAATTGGTAGCAAACCTTCTACCATCGCTAGCTGAGGAACAAATCTTTTTTTTTTTTTTGTTGAATAATAGATTATACAATGACAAATAGTTTTTTCCTTCTTTAACTCCTCTCTACCAATCTTAAAATTTGAACTCAATATCTTTAATATAAAGAATCAAACTCTTAATTATTGATATGCCCCTTAAATGAGACTACTAAAATCAAAAGTTATTGGTACATCATTTATTGTTAAGGTGATGATAGAATGTTGCATATTTATTTTTATTTCTCTTTGATTAATGATTTTTTTATTCGTAACCTTAAGTTGTACGATAAAAACAATCCTTTCTGATCTTATCATGCAACTCAAATTTAAACTCCCATATTTTTATTAAAAAAAAAATTACTATTAAGTTATGAGTTTGTTTAATCTATATCCTAAAGGCATAGGATAAGACTTATTAATTAGGGTATCTTTAATTAATTTTGTATAAATTTTCATATCAAGTTCATAATTTTTTATAAATTTTGAGTATAAATATTATATTATATTATATTTTTACATATTATATTATATTTTATTTAAATCTTATATAAAAATTTATACAAAATTAATTAATGATATTATAATTAATAAGGCTTAGGGCACAAGTTAAAATATCCCTTGAGTTATAGGGCATTGACTTCATTAATAACTTGTAAAAATCATAATTTTTGCATCTTCTCACTTGCTTTTCTGTAAAATAAGACTCTTTCTAATTTGATTTAATTATCTTATTTTATCTTTTTACAATGAGTGAGTTACCAAGAAACTCAAATTATTATAATAATTGATGTTTGACTTTTCAATTTTACCTAAAAAGTAAAAACAAAAGCTCTAGTGCACTCATTATTTTTTTATTACTCTCCCCTTCCAACTCAAATTTCCTTACTTTTATTTTTTTATTTTTTAGATATAAATTTTAAATAAAAATTTAATAAAATATATAAATGAAAATTGAATTTTTTTATATATACATATGTAGTATTTGTTGAGTAATTTTATTTTATTTAATTAAAAAATTTTTAAATATCATTTATGTACAATATTTTCAATTGATATTAGTGTTTGAAAAATGAAGAAAGTTAAGGGTATAACAACTAAAATTGAATGGAATAAGTAATGAATAGATTATAATAATAAGAATAAAAAACTAAAGTAATAGTATTTAATGTCAATTTAAAATAAGAAGTTAGACGTCCCATAAGGTAGGTTCTAATGGTTAAAAATAAGGGTGCTTATATCTAATCCAATCTACTTAACTAAAATTGATCCAATCTAATAAAAAATTAAACAAACTAATATAAAATTGGGTTAGTTTAAATTATAAAATTTTAAAACCAATATAATTGGTTTGGTTTATAATGTTACTTTCAAATTGTCTAAACTATTTAAACTATCTGATTACAAAATAAAATCTGATTATAAGAAAATTTAATTAAATAATATAATTTATATTTTTGTAATATTTTAAATTTATTTAGTTATTTTACAAGATAATAACTCTATTAACTTAATTAAAAAATAAAAATAAAATATTCCTATATTCCCTAATTTATTTTCTTTCTTAATTGTGCACTTTAACCTTATTTTAAATTTCTAATTCACTTACAACTCTATTCATTGGAATAAATCTACAACTCTACTTTTAGAACCTTAAACTTCTAATTTATTTCTAAAATGATATTCTGATCTAACTAAATTTTAAAAAAGTATCATTATAGAAAACTTAAAACTATATAATCTAACTAATCTTAATATTCTACTATTCTTGAATGTTTGATTGAGGAGTTTTAAATCTTAGTTATAAATGCTTCTAATCAATCCTAATGATATTTATATTAAATTTTATTCACTTTTAATAGAATTGAAAGATAAGATTGAATCATTGGTGTTTTTTCTAAAAAAAAAAACTAGTTTTGACTTTTAAAAATTATTTTCACTATGTTTAAAACTTGAAATCATCTTTTATTATTCTTGATGTCTTTGGTGATATAGTCAAAAAAAAAATTGAGATCTTTTTAATTTTTACAATTGTAAAATAATGTAAGAATTTGCTAATAATTTGTGTCTTTTATTATATTTCTACTTATTTAGACATTGATGTGTTTTATAGTTATATTTTATACTTGATGTTAAAATTTTTTATATTATCTCATATATTTAATAATTTTAAAAATCAATCAATCTGACCAAATTACACCGATCCGATTTAAGTTAACTTGGGTTTGTTATCATAAAATAGTGGATTGAATTAGTTTAAAAAATTTACTAACCAATTAAATTAGATTGGTTTAAAAAATATTAAATTTTGAACCAAATTACACTACAAACACCCCCAGTTAAAACTTTGAATTTAAAATATTCATATTCAAATTCAAATTCAAATGTATAATTTAGAGGTTAAAAGTATATTTATTTATTTTAATTATTAATTTATATAAAAATTATGAAAATAAACTTTAATTTTAATACTAATGTCATGTAAAATAATTTAATTAAACAATTAATAAAATTTAAGTTAATTTTTATTTTTTATATAAATTAATAATAAAAAATTAATAAATACACACTTTATTTATATTATAAAAGTGCTGGTTGCAAAATCCCTAGCTAATTAGACCCCCAAAGATAGTAGTATTCTTTCAGGTAATAAAATGTTCAGGGTGAATGGAGATTACATGCGATCAAACCGAATGAGCTAACCCTTGTGGACTTACTTGTAAAATAATAAAATATATTTTATAGTGATATTAACACTAATTTATTTTTTTACAGCAACTAAAG